ATGTAATCATATCTGTCTCTCTGGCCGGGCTTATCTTCAGAGTTGTGATTTAACTTTACGAACAATTAGAGAGTAATGTAAGCAATATTTTTTGCGAAAATAGAAAAATTGGTTTTTGATTACCTATCTTAAATCTAAATGACGCCATTAACATAAGTAAGCGATAATCAACGATTATAAGTAAGGCGGTGTATGTTTGGCTTCATTTATTAAACATTTAAATGGCACCATTCATTAAAGATTAGTCATGCAGATTTGAGCTACATTTCTGTGATTAAAACCACAACTGATTTACATATATTAATATAGCGTACGTTGATATATCTTGATACAAAATAAAAACACTTTTATTACTCCGATTACATTCTCTATATAAAAATAGAAGTTTTATTATTTTATTAATAAGAAATAGGTATTTTATCACACACAGACAATACAATAGTGTTCCAAATAAGAAATAAAAATATTCAGAACCATACTTCATAATACCTTTTAAAATTAGGAAAAATAACTTTCAATAACCTGCCTATAAAACATACAGGTATATTAAATTATTAAAGCATGAAAAAAGAATTTCTTTCTTACTCTTAAATTCAAAGTAAATTCAGAAAAACCTTCCACTTTCTTTTCAAAAATTAAATGCAGGCCCAGATATAAAACATATAAACAACAGAGCCGTGCTTGAGTTGAGTATCTCAAGGGCCTAGTGCTCGCCGTAAACGCAAACAATCCGGGTTCGATCCCCGCTAGTGTTGACAGGTGTCTTGATTTGCGCGGGACGTCCCGATTTTCAAGAGTCTAGTGACACGTCCCGATTCACCCTTGATCGGGACGCCAAATGTCCCGATTCTCACTAAGCTTCTTATTCTATACTTTAATCCATAATTTTGACAACAAAAATGATTACATCTGTTAGCTACTACGACATTGAAATATTTTTACTACGACATTGTCTCACTAGTCGAAAAAAAAACACAAAAGTTTTAAACAGAATTATATTAAAATGAGTGATTTGAAAAATTCAGGGACTGCAAAAAAACAAATAGTTCAAAAATGTTTTAATTTGCCTAATAAAATGAAAAAAATTCAGTTTTTACGATGTTTGGATGAAAAGTTATTCGTTCATGTGATCAGACCTGAATAATAATTAAAAAACACAAAAGTAAAGTTACAGTCACAATTTCTCGCATTACTCGCATACTGTGATATTTACAGTGAGCGTTGACCATCTGAGCTACCACGGCTCTCAATAAAGCACAAAAAGGCTACAAAAAAAAAAGAAAACCAAATCCCAGATTATTTTTACCTTCCGTCTCGAAATTTTACTTGCTAGACCTGGCAACACTAATCCCCGCCGACACTAATGAAATTGTTAGTTTGATGAATTATGTTTACATTATGAAACAGAATAAAAGTTTATCAAATGATATATATTTTACACAATACATATTTTTCAATTAGAACATATATTATAATATACTCAATAGGGTGAAAATGTAAAGCCGACTTCAATGTACTAAAAGAATAAAACAATTTCCACATATTAGCCTCCGATTTCTATACACTATATAAACCATTATATGGAAATAATTTTTTTATTATTTTAGTTCCAATAGTATCAAAGACAGGTATATAATCAAAGTGATTCGTGCAACTAAAGGCAACTATTATAGCCTCACGCTCGTCCTGACACGCACACAGAGATAACATTGTAGTGTGCGTCAATATTACGCCGTTCCAAAGCGATCGCGTAGATTTCGACTTGGACATATTTGAATATGCGCTCTCAAATCATAGAATACTATATATATATAATACACAATAGAATGGCTGTCAACTTTATTTTGTACGAGGTTTGGCGTCGCCAAACCCGATTCGCTGTATTGACAGACTGAGTAAATTTACACATTTTAGACTTTTGATTAATGTTCAAGATCACTAAAAAAATCGTTTAAATTTTAATACATATTTATTTGTAAATAGGGCGCAGTTTGGCATTTTAAATAACATGCATGCGAAATTTCGAAACGATTGTAACGTCAAAACATATCTCGTGTTTATATTTATACGTGTGAATTGACGTGTTAGTGACATTTTAGTGGCTACACGGGCTCTGCCCACTCCCCCGTTCTATTATGTATGTATGTCTATGATTCAAACATTTAAATACAAAACGGGGAAGAGCTGTAAAGTTTTTATTTTTAGTTTTTATTTTAGTAATAAATATTGTATATTTTAATGTTATGTGTATAAATAATTATATTAATATGTTAAGTGAATAAACTGAAATTATACCGAACTTTTAGGAAGGGTACATAATATTAAATAGCACAAAAAATAAGACATACTACAGTATGTAACCATACAACAAACGACTGTGTCTTCTCTTTGTGAGTAAAATACAAACAAAATGCTCCAGCTACATACTCATTAGTAACCACCAGTTCATTCACGAATAATATGCAGTAAACATTACTTAAAGTTGAAATATCAATTCAAAAAGCGTTAGCACCTGAAATCCAACTTGTTGCTCGCGTCCCATAATAATAAGACTACTATTAAATATAACCAGCAATATTTTTTTTTATTAATGGCGTGGATGATTAATAGAAACTATGTAGTATGGTTACGAAACGATGCAAATACCAATATTACGGAGGTATACAAGGTTATTTTGCAATAACCGGCAAAATTTGCAGAGGTTTAATAGAATAAATAACATTCGCAAATGGTAAAGAACAATAAAAAAAATCTCAAACATTCTGTCACGCGTGTAATGCATTATTTAAAATAATATATCGATTTTACGGCGCACACACACACATTTGTAAGGGTCGATCCCATAAATCACATTCAATTTGGGATCATATAAAAGTAAAAGCCTCATTTAGCCTTAAAACGTTATTTATATATTTTAACTTAAGTTTAAAATTTGGCTACTTTTTGAAAAATAACCCTGAAGTTAGGATAGTTTCAAGATAAAAATTGAACATGCTAAACTTTACTGAGTTGCAAGATACAACTATATACTACAAATGATTAATATACGAGGGCTGTTCAAAAAGTATCGCGAATTTTGAATTTTCGCGGGCTACGTATATTTGATTTTTAATCTTTTTGTAGCCTTATATTGGTACTCATGTCCCTTACTTATGCTGACAAGGTCGACAATTTTGAATGTTGAGTTAATTTTTGACAGCTGTTTAGGTTGGATGTGTTTTAGCTCGACTTCGCTTTTTGCCTATTCCAAAAATGGATCAAAGAATCTGTATTAAATGTTGTATGAAAAACAAAATAAAGTGCGCGGATGCATTCCGAATGTTGACTGTGGCATATGGTGAAGCTACCTTGGACCAAAGCAACGTTTATCGGTGGTACAAAATGTTCTCAGAGGGCCGAGAAGATGTGAACGACGAACAGCGTGCCAGACGCCCGAGCACGTCAACAACAGATGATAACATTGATAAAGTGAAGAAAATATGGCTAACCGTCGAATCACCGTTAGAGAAGTTGCTGAGGACCTAAACATATCGATTGGCACGTGCCATGCGATTGTAAGTAAAGCGATTGTGCGAAAAAGTCGCCGCGAAATTCGTGCCAAATTCAATTTCGACCAAAAACAGCATCGCGTTAGCATTGCTCAGGAGATGTTGGGCTCGGTTCGTGACTCCAATGAGCTCCAGAGGGTCATGACTGGTGACAAATCATGGGTTTATGGTTATAACGTGGAAATCAAAGCTTAAACATCCCAATGGAAGCTGCCGCATGAACCAAGACCGAAAAAAGCGCGCAAGTCCGGTCGAACGTGAAGGTTTTGTTCAGTTTTCTTCGATTGCAGGAGCGTGGTGCATCATGAGTTCTTGCCACAGGGTACTACGGTTAATAAGGAATATCACCTGCAAGTTATGCGCATTTTGCGCGAAGCAATTCGCCAGAAACGCCCGGATTTGTGAAAGAAAAAAAAATCGGCTTTTGCACCACGATAACGCCCCTGCTCACACATCGTTGCTTGTGCGCTAATATTTATCCAAAAACTACACAGTAATGGTCTCGCAGCCACCATATTCCCCAGACCTCGCCCCATGTGTCTTTTCCTGTTCCCAAAAGTGAAGAGGCCCATGAAAGAACGACGCTACGCCACGATTGAGGAAATAAAGACGGCATCGATGGAGGAGCCGAAGAATATCACGAAAAATGATTTTTTTAAGTGCTTCGAGGATTGGAAAAAACGTTGGCACAAGTGCATTATATCCGAGGGGGATTACTTTGAAAGAGACAAAATAGATATTCATGAATAAATAAATACTTTCTGAAAAAATACAAAATTCGCGATACTTTTTGAACAGACTGTGTATCTGTATTTTTCTCTCACTAATGAATTCCAACAAGATGTAATAGTCTTTTTAGTCCGAAACATCACGCTTTAGACTTTAAAACAGTTTCGTGATAAAAAATAGCTTAAGGTAGGGTTTTTAGTACATATTTTATATTCTAGTAAATTTTACCTTCCCATTAGTATACGGTACTCCAGTAAGAGAATCATAGAAATCAGTCATGCAAATTCTGAAAGAATTACGCACATACAAACACACATACATGCGATACATATGGATACCTGCAAAAATATATAAATCAAAGAGAAAAGGCAGGACCACTTATTTTGTATAATATAGGTTATATAGGCAGGCACGCTTCTGACAACACGAATGTGAAGCAGACCGTAAACCACGGCCAAAATTTATTAACGCTTTCAAGAGTTATCATTGGCCTATTTAAAAGGCTATGTGCTTCCCTTCCGTATTTTTATAAATAATTATGCACCCATTGAGAAGAGACAGTATTGGTTGGGCGCAGTCTTTTAGAATGGTCAATTCTCTAGAGTAAAGTGTCGGTGCGTGTTAGCGTACATGTGTGGCGTGTTATGATTTTGTCTGTGTGTGTGTGAGCAGCGTGTCGCTGTTGTAGGGTGGTTGTGTGGTGGTGTGTGGTGGTATGTGGTGTCAGCGCGGCTTGTCGTGCAGCCAGGCGCGGAACACGGGCAGCGTGGTGGGGTAGTGTGTGGGCGGCTGCTCGCTCTGCTCGCGCTCATCGCCCGCCTCACGGAACGGGTACGTGCCCAGCACGATTGGCAGTTGCAACTTCACCTCCTTTTCTAGACTCTTCGGCTCGATAATGAACTGAAACGTGATGAAAACAATTAATAAATATAGTCTTATGCTGGAGCGCATTCAGAATAAATTCACGCGATTTATATATAAATACATAGGCTTTATGGGGTTTATCCATCCTACCCCTTGATGTATCCAACCTTGTTTGTTTTAGGTATGGTTGGATACAACAAGTTAGAAACTAGAAGGGATCTAGAGCTGGTAACCTACATTTTAAGGGTGTTCCGTGGTTACATCAGCCCGGGCGTGCTGCAGTGGATATGCTTACGCGTGCCTGATAGGTATGTACAGCTGCGACGGCGGCCGAGCTTGCTCGCGGTGCCACGCGCCAGGACTAAACTGGTTTGCAATACCCCCCCTCACGCGAACGATTCACATACTAAATTTGGTAGCTGAGAAGTTGGATTTATTTGTGTTCACGGAGTGAGTTCGCAAAAGTGACATTATTTACAATATGTTATTCTTAAATTGTATTATACAATTGATAGTAATAATAATAAATATTTATTCCAAAACAATGGGTACATTATATTATATTAGTGACCGTAGCGCCCTTTAAAGCTAATAAGCCTGTATCAAGGAGCAACGCTCTTCCACTAATTTATGTCGTTTATAGAAGAATGTACAAGATAAAAATAAAATTTTTGGATTTACATGATTTTTGAAGTAGCACGTTTAAACAATAACAATGAGAATAATTATTATTCTAGTATAGTTCTAATATGTAACTAATTTTAAAAGTGACTATTTACAGCTAATAGGTTATATTTCCTTTTTTTTTACTTTTTAAAAAAAGTGTGCATTTTTAGCGTGCATTTGTGTGTGTGTGTGTGTGTGTGTGTGTGTGTGTGTGTGTGTGTGTGTGTGTGCGCATGTATGTGAGTGTGTGCATGTGTTTTCGTTACTATTTAATTTTAACTAATAATGCCTCTAGATCATCATAGGTTTTATCCTCCAGCATAACTGTAAGATAAGTGGATATGTTTTAGTATATAAGTTTAAGCTTTTATTAATTTGGTGTTCTTGAAGCAAAAACAGAATTGCATTTGAGGGTTTCCAGCTTATGCCTTCTACTTACAGCATTAATGGCATCTAGTTTCAGGGTTTTGTGTTTACTCAGAATTGTCTGTATAATGTAAAGCTTTCTAATTGAAAGAATTCGGGTAGTTTCATAAAGTTTATCGTTTGAAAAAATTTGTTTTTTAAAATACATAACCTTTATCAAACCACGTTGTGCACGTTCCGCCTCAAGAAAGCGCGTTTTGGCTGCACCTCCCCATACAGGCAAACAGTAAGCAAGAACAGACTGTACTAAGGATATGTATATATCTCTTAGAAGACACTTGTCCCCAGTCCCCGTTTCTAAATCTGTCTTAAGTACCACATGTCTCAATGTCTTAAAAATCCATGTGAGATTCCTTATTCTGTGAGTGACATGTTCAAGTTGAGGATACCAAGAGAGTCTTCGATCCAGCCACAAACCCAAATATTTAGCTTCGGTTACTTTTTGTATAGTGGGGCAATGGCAGTTCTGTCTATATGTTGTGATACGGCAGTGATGTACTCTCACCGCAAAATCAAGTTCTGGCTGAGTGTTGTTATAAATGCTAAAGCATATATAGCAACTTTTGGCCGTATTGAGCGTAAGGAGATTAAATTGCAGCCGTTTACCTATTTGATCAAGACCTTTTTCTGCATTTTTTTAGCAATGTGCCAGGATCCTTCGGTGAAAACAACGGCAGTGTCATCCGCATAAGAGAATATTTTGGCATTTTCAAGGGTCATGTTACATAAATCATTCAGATAAATTAAGAATAACGTGAGGCCAAGAACACTTCCTTGCGGGACACCAAACCACACATTAGTGCAATCACTAGTATAATTTTCTAGTTTTACTTTCTGCCTCCTGTTTGCAAGGTAGTCCGCGAGTAATTTTAGTGGAACACCCCTGATACCAACTCTTTCCAGCTTATGTACAAGAATGGGGATAGAGACCGTATCAAACGCTTTCTTCAAATCCAAGAATACTGCTATGCATTTATTATGTTTATCCATTTCCTCTACTACCAATGAGCTCAATGCAGAGACTGCATCTTCGGTGGACTTTCCTTGTCTGAAACCAAACTGGGAAGCAGACAAGATCTCATATTTTTGTAAGTAGGCGTTTAATCTTACATTTATAAGTCTTTCGAGTATTTTGGATATCGCAAGCAGCACCGATATAGGCCTATAGTTGCAGTATTTCCCAGTCTGTAAAGGGATAATGTAGAGGAGCTGGGAATATTCCTTTATCACAGGACAGGTTTGCTAGGTGAGTTATAATAGGAACGATTATTTATTTTGCATGTTTAAGAAAAGCAGTCGGGATATTATCCCAGCCTGGAGAACTTTTAGATTTTAGGTTCATCAAAATGTTGTTAACTTCATAATGATCAGTGTGCAGAAGTACAAAGGAGTTTGGATGTGTTGGCAGATTTTGGAGGTAAGAGTTAGAGTCGCTTTCCACATATTCAATCTGTTCTGCAAGCTGTTTACCAATATTAGAAAAATAGTTATTTACAGAGTTTGCAGAGGCTATCGAGTTATCAGAAACATTAAGAAGTTCTATATTTAAAGTCTTGAGTTTATTAGTGTGAGTAATAGTTTTGATATTTTTCCATAATTGTTTGTTATTTTTGACCGATTTAGCCAACAACTCTCTCTCTCTCTCATAGTCTCTTTTTAACTTTTTAATAAGATTGTTACAGTAATTTCTATACCTCCGGTATGTGATTGTGATTTCGTTATTGTAAGGCGCATTACGTGCTTGTTTTTGAAGCTTATTACGGTTTCTTATACAGCGCAAAATACCAGGTGTGATCCAAGGTTTTAGGATACGATTTTTTCTAGAAATAGTTATGGTAACGGTATGTTCTTTTAGTGAGTTGGTAAGTGCATAAATCAAATGATTAGCTATTAACTCAGGGTCATCGCATTGTAGCAGTTTATCTAGGTTTTGATTTTTTAGGTGATCTAAAGCTTGGTTAAAGTTAGTGGATATTTTTGATTTAGGTACAAAAAGCTTAGGTTTGATTTTTGAGAGTATGAGGAAAGTTGCAAAATGGTCAGTGGTGGTCGTGTGTAATACAAAAATAGATGCCTGTACTTTGAGCTTATTTATATTTAACATAATATGGTCTAGGCAGTTCTGTTCTCTTGTAGGGATAGTGTGGCCGGCCAGTGTACCGTGCTCAGATAACATGTTTAAGTAATTTAGTCGATTTTTCTGTTCTTGGGGTAGTTCTATGGGCTTGAGAGCAATGTTAATATTAATATCGCCTGAAATAAAAATATTATGAAGTGACTTTATAGAATTTAAGTGTGATTTCAATGAATTTATAAAACTATCAGCATTTTTAATTGATGGTGATCTATATATACATAAAATTATATTATTTAGTATGTCGAGCTGTAAACATGATGCATGGGTCAAATGTATTTCCTTAATTTTGTATTTTAAAGCATTCTTTACATATACTACGACACCATCGTTTTGGTTCAGCCTAGACTCAGTAAAATAGGAGCAATAGTTGGGCAGAACAGGTAGAGGTTTGTTATAATTAAGTCTGCACTCCGTCAATACAATAACATCAGTATTGAAGTTAAAGCTAGACAAAGTCAGTACAAAATCATCAATGTTACAATATATACTCCTTATATTTTGTGATATCATAGTAAAGTCAGTCTTCTTTACATTTACACTCTTAATAAACTCCTCCACGTCGCATTCACTAGACCGTGGCCAGCTCTATTCTGTCTATTTCTTGAAGTGTGGTCATTGTATTATTCATGTGAAAAGAAAAATAGGCGAAAATACGTCAATTCCCATAGCGTCAAGTATGTGATTGTAGGCGACCTATTATAATAATAATATTTATACTTTGTAAAGTTTACGGTTGAATTTTCTTTTTTAAAAGTATTATACAATCGTATAGCCAACAAAAGTAAATCAAAGTAATGTATTGTCATTTAAATTATTATGTGTTGTTATTTAAATTAATTATTGTGTTGTAATTAGTAATCTTTTACCATTTGAATTGTTACTTTTTGAATTGAGTTGCTACATTTATCGATTTAGGTTTTCCGTGTAATGGTAGATGTTAGTAGGAAATATAAATAAATAAATAAATAACACTTCTTAATGGATTTTGAAGGTTGCAAAAATTAAACCAGAACTGAATTTCTTTTTCGACATTATCAGTCCGTAAGAGTCTACTGCTGGACCTTAGCCTATCTCGTTTTAGTAAGGATTTGCTATATTGAAATGTATTTTATTAATATATTTTCTTTCATTACGTACTATAATAGCGATCTGCCCCAGTTCCGCACAAGTGATACCTGGATTCTACAACACCGCCACCTACAAGGTCCAATTATGCCTATAATCTTCGCGGAAGTGCAAGTAATATGTTGACAAAGTTTTACCGCAACAAAAAATAATTTTTATATATTAAAAGATCAGGGCGGCGTGTCATGATGCTATCATTAAAATCGACTGCTATAAATTAGTCTCTGTAAGTTATTATTCTGATCATACGCACATAGTGATTGTCATCATTTCTTTAAATCTGACAACTGATGACAATCATCATTCTTGATTGAGGTGGCGACTCATATTTCTCAAAAATATATTTTGATATGAATGCGTTAGAAGTGAAATAAATTCAAAATCACTTCGCATATCAGCTCCGTATATGATCCATATAATTTCGGTTCAGAGGTTTTGAATAAACTGTGCGACATCGGTCACCACAATGGTTTCATATATTTACGCGAACGCTACAAATTAAAATAGAACTAGTTTTTACGGATTTATTCGCGTATATTGACTTATTTTTACCACAACTTGCTCTAGCCTTGTCCATCAGTCAATATGGTGCACCACTTGCAGGCGAGGTTAGCACTTAGAGGTAAAACTTTTTTTAATAGACGTCGCCCATCGTAAGATTTTTTCCTGTATCAAGATCCTTATCGTTACAAATCGTTCCGTGCTGCATTCTAACTTTTAAGGTCTAAAGTTTTGCAGCTGATTTAAGAAATTCTAATCCGTTTGCTATTTGATAATACCGGTTTAACAGCGTCTGGCAAGCAGTGGTAATGATTTTCCGGCTGATAGATAGTGTCTATGAATGTACATGCTCCTTGGGACGAAGAAAAATGAGAAACCGGTTTTAACGGCGGAACATCGGACATTACAGTAATACGTCGACGTACTGAACGCTCTAAACCGTAAACCGATGGAGTGAAGTCGATTGCTTCCGTTTACAACGATCATTCACAGATAGAGCTCCAATCCTTTTCCATTTTAAAACTCCTGCTCTATGTGTGACAGTGATAGTGTTATGTGAAACCAAAGCCCTGTAGAGATAGTTTTAATCCTTTTCCATGTCAAAACACTCTCTTTATTGGATAAGGGTGACAAACAAGCACACAGTTTACCTGATGGTAGGTGGATGCTGTGGCCCATAGACACATCTACATTTATCTCCGATTAAGAAACAAAATTCAGATGCGAAATGCGAATGCAAAAGTATCTCCAGTTTTCAACACACCATATGAAACATATCAGCTCTAGACTGCTATTTTATGTTGGTATTCTGTGAAAGCGTGATTCTACCCCGGTTGTATGACAGTGATGGTGTAGTGTGACAGTCATAGTGTTGTATGTCAGTGAAATTGTAGTCTGACAGTGATGATGTTGTGTGACCGTGATAGTGTTGTGTGACAGTAATAGTGTTGCGTGACAATGATAATGTAGAGTGACAGTGATAGTGTTGCGTGACAGTGATAATGTAGAGTGACAGCAATGGTGTTTGCATGACAGTGATAATGTAGAGTGACAGTGATAGTGTTGCGTGACAGGAATAGTGTTTCGTGACAGTGATATTGTTACATGCCATTGATAGTGCTGCGTGACAATGATAGTGTTGTGTAACAGTGGTAGTCCTGCGTGACAGTGTTAGGCGTTGGCCACGCTAGAGCGACTGCGACGAGCGTAGGCGACCTGCAGAGGCGGGAGGCGTGAAGACGCTGCGCCTGGCCGCTGTAGTATGTCACGTTGAGGCGGCTGCATGACATGTGGTCCGTCCCTTCTTGCTATTTTTGCGCGAGTTAAAAAATGAGGCTTTCTAAATTGGCACTTTCGTGTCTGGAAGGGAGTAGTTTCTATTTGCACAAGATATAATGCAAATTAAAGTAGACAGGCATCAGTTTGGTGAATATCGGTAGACTGTATGGTAAAATACGTCAATACCCACAAAAGTTTTGAGAAATATATTGCGCCCTCCTTTCTGCCAAGATGGGTCGCGTCCGTCTACGGCTTAGAGATCTCTCGTCAGATCGGTAAGCCAATGCATAAAGGCGGTGTTTAATTGGTAAAAGTCTCCAGATAACCACGCAGCCGGCTGCGTGTTATGCTATGAGCATTCACCGCCTCCCTCCCCCGCTTTCCGGAGGGTTGCCCATATTTGCTTCGGGCGCAAAAAAAAAGAAATATAATATTATGCTTATAATTTTCATCCTTACTAGACTATATTGCAGACCGAGAAATTATTTCACTATTTGATTTACACGCTGGATGCGTGAAAACGTACTATGTCCTCCGATGGTCGCGGTCGCCTGACGCGCATGCCAGACGCGCTAACGTGGCACCTCCCGTTCGTCTCCTATTGTTATTCTTCCCGCTCATCGCAGACGCAAGACGCGTCGCGCTAGCGTGGCACACGACTTAGTGTTGTTGTGTTGATACTCACGAAAACGTCGTAGTGCAGGGCGATGAGGTGGCAGCCGCGCAGGTTGGTGGGCGGCAGCGGCGGTACGTACAGCAGCTCGCGCCAGCGGTCGGTGCCGCCGGCGCGCGTCTTGCCGCGCCGCAGCGCCGCCAGCTCGCGCACCTCGCGCGCGGCCACCTTACCGTGCGCCCAGTACTCGATCGTCTGCGAGACACGCGTCATACGTGCTAGAGCCACGCCACACCGCTGCCCACAGGCCTCCTCTCATTTTTGAGTGTTTTAACAACAACATAACAATAATAATGTGCTCATTGAACGAGCACAGTCAAGTATATTTTAAGGTTCAGTACTAAATCGAAAAAGAACACAAAAACTCTCCGATCACACTCTTAATCTCATGGCTGTTAGACGGGAGATGAGGCTGCAATCGTTAACAGATTTGACAGCATACAGGCAAACTGAACAGACAGATCTCCAAATGCATGCGGCGAGACTTACGCAACTTTAATACTGCTCGTATTAAAGAAGCGATCGAGCGGAACCAGGGCCCCAAAGTCTTTGCCAGAGATCTGTCTGCCAGTAAGAGCCAACTGTCAAAGCTGAAGACTGAGTGTGGCAACATCGTTTCCGGGACACCTGAGATTTTGAGTGAGATTGAGAGGTTCTATGGGCAGCTGTACACATCATCTTTGGAGCCACACGCAAGTGTGAGGAACGATCCAAGAGCAAGTCTTATCCGAGACTATTCCGATGATATCCCGGACGTCAGTCTGAGCGAGATTAGAATGGCTCTCCAGCACCTTAAAAACGGCAGGGTCCCGGGCGAGGATGGAATTACAGCGGAGCTTTTGAAAGCGGGTGGAAAACCGGTACTTGAAGTCCTTCAGAGGCTCTTTAAGTCCGTCCTCCATGGTGGCACTACTCCGGAGGCGTGGAGCAGAAGTGCGGTGGTCTTGTTCTTTAAGAAAGGCGATAACGTTCTCTTGAAGAACTACAGACCTATTTCCCTTCTGAGCCACGTCTACGTGCTGTTTTCGAGAGTCATTACGAATCGTCTCGCACGCAGACTCGACGACTTCCAGCCTCCCGTACATGCCGGCTTCCGAAAAGGCTTCAGTACCATAGACCACATACATACCCTGCGGCAGATTGTACAAAAGACTGAAGAGTACAATTTGCCACTTTGCCTGGCGTATGTGGACTATGAGAAAGCCTTTGATTCCGTCGAAATTTGGGCGGTGCTACAGTCGGTGCCAAGTTGACTGTCGGTATATCGAAGTGCTGAAGTGTTTGTACAGTAGGGCTACGATGGCTATCCGAGTACAGAACCAGAGCTCGAAACATATCCAACTTCACAGAGGTGTAAGACAGGGTGATGTTATATCCCCGAAACTCTTCACCGCTGCATTGGAATACGTTTTCGAGCTACTGGACTGGAAAGGATACGGTATTAACATCAATGGCGAGTACATCGCTCACCTTCGATTTACCGACGATATAGTCCTTATGGCAGAATCGCTGGAGGACTTAAGCACTATGCTCAATGACCTCAATAGTGCCTCCCAACGGATAGGTCTTAAGATGAACATGGACAAAACAAAGATTATGTTTAATGTCCATGTCACACCTATCCCGGTAGTTGTTGGGAGCACTATGCTCGAAGTTGTTGACGAGTACGTTTACCTGGGACAAATAGTCCGACTAGGCAAGTCCAACTTCGACCGAGAGGTCAATCGACAGATTCAACTCGGCTGGGCAGCGTTCGACATACATTACGACATATCTTCTCGTCAGGTATACCTCAATCTCTAAAAACTAGATTGTACAACCAGTGCGTGTTGCCAGTGATGACTTACGGATCTGAGACGTGGTCCTTCACTGCTGGCCGTATGAGGACGCTCAAGGGTCGCTCAGCGAGCTATGGAGAGGGCTATGCTCGGAGTTTCTCTGCGTGATGGACTCAGAAATGAGGATATCCGCAGTAAAACCAGAGTGACCGACATAGCCCAACGGATTAGTAAGCTGAAGTGGCAATGGGCCGGCCATATAGCTCGAAGAACCGATAACCGATGGAGAAGAAAGGTTCTCGAGTGGCAGCCTCGTATCGGTAGGCGTAGTGTAGGGCGACCCCCACTAGATGGAGTGACGACCTGCTAAGATATGCAGGAAGTCGATGGATGCAGGTGGCTCAGGACCGTGCTTTGTGGCATTACTTGGGGGAGGCCTATGTTCAGCAGTGGACTTGTGAAGGGCTGTAATGAAATGACTAAATCGTCTGCGCAACACACACTCGACATGCCGCTGACATACAAGAAGGAAACAGAAAAGGTAATGATACTTTTGGTATCGAGTAGTTTTCCTTGACGATACCGATACTTATGTACACGATGCTTTTGTATTCGTTACTTTTCTGATATTAGTACTTTATAGTAAGTATTGTGGTAGATCAGATGGTTAACGCTCGCTGTAAATATAACAGAACGCGAGTAACCCGGGTTTGATCCTCGCCGGCACCAATGACATTGTTAATTGCAATTTTAAGTGCTGCTTTACCACGTGCTCGGCGGTGAAGGGAAACATCGTGAGGAAACCTGCATGTCTAAGGAATAAGAAAAAAAAATTCGAATACACGTGAAGTTCGCCAACACGCATTGGGTCAGCGCGGCGGACACTTCCTTGCCCTAAAACCCCCTCAGAAATGAGGGGAGGCCTGTGCCCAGCAGTTGAACGTATATAGGCTGTAACTTTACTTTTTAGTAAGTATCGTATCGTATGACATAGTTTCGATTAATCCTTCCTGTCATACTAGTGCTGCCTAGCGCTACCAAGCGTTTTTTATGTTAACGTTACAGTTACGGGCTATTAAAGTCCATTGCCCAATAGATTGTCTCATAGGCGAGATATTTGCCACAATTGCCGCGCTTGGCGAGCGGGATGGAAACCGCAGTTTTTTTTTTGTCGTAATTACGAAGACTGCTGCCCATCTCTTGATTTGTTCCCTCTATCGAGAGTAGTATAGGGTAGTGGATATTCCTACACTGCCACTACACGGTAAATTTTGGGGATATAGATATTCTATCTCACGAAATCCATGTGGCTATGAATGTTGTCGGGCATGCACATGTATGTTGTTTTAGTATGCATAAACTTGGGAGCGTTAAGTCGCGAACGCGACGCGGTTCGAGTCAATAGGTTTTTGAGTCCGCGGCAATTTTTTTGAAATATCAGACGCGGCCATACCTGACAACATTGATAGTCAAACGGACTTCGTGTGATAGAATATCTATATCTAAAAGAAGGCACATATTAAACGGCTGTGACTTTAATAATAACAACAAGTGATCTCACCTCGGTGAGGGCAGCACGCGTGCACTTGATGGCGGTGCGCGAGTTGTTGACGAGGTGTGCGGAGAGCGCGATGCTCTCGCCGGGCACGTAGGCGCCGCGGTCCAGCGCCACGCGGCACGCCAGTGCGCCGCCGCCCACGCAGCCCACGCCCACGCGGTGCTCCACGCTGCACTCCAGCTCTTGCTGCACCGCCCACCACACGTATTACTGCCGCTCATTACCGTGCCCACAATATATACGAATAACGTTCGTATCGACACATCATCATCTATCATCTTTACAGTTTATCGAAAGTTCACCATTGAACATAGATAGGTATAATATTTGCCATAGTTGCCACGCTTAGCAGGCGTGTCAAAGCGCAGATTTTATTATTTTCAATTGTTAGCAGGAATATGCTGCTGCCCATATCCTGTTTCAATTTCGCTCTGTCGCATGAAGCGATATTATGATCGTCTTAGGTTTATCGTTTAATCACCTGAATAATCGAACCCCTTGACCAGGGATTCTGTCGCCAGGGTGTAAACGTTTTCCATTCTTTTTTGTTTCTTCAAATTTTGAATTGTAATTTTATATACATATTTCTGAAAACTTACGCTTTTAGATAATTAAAATATCACCACTTTAAAGACGTTTGAAAAAAGTTTGGGTATAGTTTTATATATATATATCGCATAGCGCGGCGTCCTGGTGGGCCGTAGAGAGTAAAGACTCCAAAGATCAATGTGGGCCCAGAAATGGAAGTAGCGGTGTTAAACCTTATTCCACGATTTGAAAAAATGTGTAGAGATCACCAAACTTACGTCACATTAACTAAGTAACCATTGTATTTTATTTCCTGTTTTTCTTATATGTTCTTGTGTGAAATAATCTTGTGTGAATAAATCTAAATACTCAGCTTCATATTGTGGATGTTTTATTATTTGTGCCTAACTAGGACGCCGTAACAAAATACTAAATCTGCAAATGTGCCGCCAACTGAAAAAGTTTGGGAACCCCTACCCTAGACCGTTACTAAAATCTAACTTACAATGTTATTTTTTTATGCTGACACACTTTATTATTATGCTGACAAAAGGTTTGCTCTACGGTATTTAAGACTTAATTAAGAGCCATAGCTAAAATTTTGTTCCAGTGTCTGGAACAAAAATATTATTTCACTAGATGCTTACAGGTGTAATTTTACCGATTTTAATGGTGCTTTGTAATTATTAAACAACAGAAACCTTGGATTTATCAAGCTTAACTGACTGAATAATTCATCAGACTACAATATAATATGTATACATATATACCTAGGATAAATTAATAGTGGTATATTAATTTTGAATATTTTATATGAAATACATAACATTAACGTATTATTTATAATTTATATATATTTGAGAAATTTTATTTGAATCCCAGCAGAAATACTAATTTGGTCTGGATGTATTGTGATTCTGCATCCTAGCCTACCTTTGCCCCAGTCTCTTAATATGTGAGCATTTAAACGTTAACCCCTCAGGCCCCTTAAAATTCTCATGCAGTCGCATGCGCCCGGCAAATCCCGAGCGGTCGCATGCAACGGCACACACCAGCAGCACTTAAACTCAAACATTAAAACTTTATATACCGTACTATATACCGCTAAAAAAAACCCCTTTGTCGTATCTCCTCAGTTTCAAGACACTCCCCTTATTGCCTCACCCAGTATCGGAATCCTCGGCGTCGACATATCGAGTGACGTGCAGTTTCGTGGTCACTTGGAAGAGAAGGCCAAATTGGCCTCTAAAAAGCTTGGCGTGCTCAGCAGAGCAGGACAGTATTTCATGCCGGCACACCGCCTGCAACTTTACAAGGCGCAGGTTCGACCGCACATGGAATACTGTTCCCATCTCTGGGCTGGGGCTCCCCAGTACCAGCTCCTTCCACTTGACCGCATCCAGCGCAGAGCGGCTCGAATCGTCGACGACCGAGTGTTTTCCGATCGGCTCGATTCACTAGCACTGCGAAGAGATGTTGCATCTCTTTGCATTTTCTTTCGCATATACCATGGAAAGTGCTCTGAGGAATTGTTCGAATTAATCCCAGCCGCCAAATTTCGTGAACGCACTACGCGGCAAACGTCGCGATACCATCCACATCATCTGGATGCTTAGCGGTCCACCACTGTACGTTTCAAGAGGAGTTTTCTTCCGCGTACAACCTCTCTGTGGAATAGTTTACCACCAGCGATTTTTCCGGGCCGATACGACCTGGGGACCTTCAAGAAAAGAGCTTACTCCTTTCTAAAGGGCCGGCAACGCACCTGCAATTCCCCTGGTGTTGCGGTTGATCATGGGCGGCGGTAGTCACTTAACATCAGGTGAGCCGCATGCTCGTTTGCCCCCTCTTCTATAAAAAAAAAACTTATATTTGGAGACTACTTTTTCTATGAAGAAGTTTGGCATTATAAAATCTATACAGAATTATCTATATAAAAGTCAGGTTTTAGTTCATTACAAAAAGACTATTGTATTTTGATAACAAAAATAAAACATACCAAGCGAATGTCGGTAGCTTGAAAATTACAATTATTTCAATATATATTACTCGAAATTATTTACGAAAAAAGATAAATTATATTCACACAAAAACTATCCTTACAATCCATACTAATATTATAAATGCGAAAGTGTGTTTGTTTGTTTGTTTGTTTGTCCTTCTTTCACGTCGCAACAGAGCGTCGGCATGGCATGATTTTTTGTATGGGGATAGTTCGGTGGCTGTAGAGTGACATAGGCTACTTTTTTCAGCGGAAAAACATATCATTCCCGTGGGAAAATCGAATATGTTGCAAAATTAAATTCAGCTAGGTGGCGCCACCGTGATTCTACAAGACGGACGACGGTACGATGGACGAACACAGAAGGTCAGAATATCTGGATTATTATGTCTTTTTACCAAAATTAAGATAAAAAAATGTATGGATCTGTATTTTTCCACACAGGACCGGGAAGAGAGCGATAAAAAACATAAAATTCACCAGCTGATTTTCTTCAAACGTTTTGGTGCATTGTAATTCACAGAATAGGCGATAACCTCGCAGACGATATTAAGTAATCCTTTGATGCTCTGCATACCCCGCAAGGGTTACAGGCGTGATTATAAGTATGGATCAGAAATACTATCACCACCTGTCACGCTTTCACCCTTAACTATTACTTAACTGTGGTAGAAACAGTTCTTAGTAAGCCTTAGTGTAATATTTATTGAACGGAAATGAATACAGTTCTTATATGTGGTTATGAATGAATCGGTATTACAATAAGTATTTTATATAAAATTGTGCAAAATTTTAAGAAAAATATTTTTTGAGAGTTCTTATTAACTACCGTATACATAGTTTAAATTGATTTCGCTAGATGTCGTTACTAGGTTTTTAAAACGCGGTAACGAAATGTTTCCCGACATGTACTTAACTCCCGTCGTTGAGCCGCGCGCCAACTTATAGTGCATATGGTATCTATACGCTTAAATTGTTTCTATTTCGTAGCTTATTCGACTACCTGCTTTCGATTTAGGTTATTTTGTTATTTGCTTTGTGATTTGGTTAAGGTTGAATGGATTTATATTGGCTTTCATTTTCGGATTTGTGTATTTTCTTGGATCGGTTTTGTTGATTTGGTTGGTATTCCTTTATACATATTTAGACTCTGGCTTTGATTTTGCATTTTGTTTATTTAGAATCGTGAATTGGTTTTCGTTGTTTTAGGTTGTTTAACAATATTTCAAAGGAATATTAATAGTATAGATAGTGTATACGGTACCTATACACTTACTTCTTTTTTCGTTGGTTATATTTATATTGACTACTGCTTTCGATTTCGGTTTTCTGCGATTTGTTTTGTGATTTGGTTTAAGTTGATTCGATTTTTTTTTGGCTATCGTTTTCGGATTCGTGTTGTGTCTTGAATTGGTTTTGTTGTTTTGATTTTAAAAAAATATTTAAAAGGAATATTTATTCCTTTTAGATATTTTGGATTTGCTTTTAAAAAACATATTTAAAAGGAAATTTAATTCCTTTTAGGTATTTTAACGTTTTTTATAAATAGGTTTTTTGTTACTTCATAATGCCTCACAAACGTAAGTCCAGCCTTTCAAGAGTATCTTCTCAAAGACAAGCGAAAAGATTAGCTCGATCGCTAGAATCTTTAGAAGATGCTGAACTGAGAAGGCAAGAACGTCAGCAAATGCGTCTTGAACAGACAGAGCGTCGGGCTGCTTTAAGAGCTTCCGAAACACCTTCTTAAAGTCAGGAAAGGCATCTTGAACAGGCAGAGCGTCAAGCTACTTTAAAAGCTTCTGAAATCAGCGAAGGCGTCTTGAACAGGCAGAGCGTCAAGCTACTTTAAGAGCAACTGAAACACCTGCTCAAAGTCAGCAAAGGCGTCTTGAACAGGCAGAGCGTTAAGCTACTTTAAGAGCTACTGAAACACCTGATCAAAGTCAGCAAAGGCGTCTTGAACAGGCAGAGCGTCAATCTACTTTAAGAGCTACTGAAACACCTGCTCAAAGCCAGCAAAGGCTATTCGAACAAGCGGAACGTCAGGCCGCCTTAAGAGCCGCGGAAACACCTGATGAAACTCAACACAGACTCATTGAGCGAGCTGAACGTCAATCTACTATAAGGGCATCTGAAACACCAGAACAGACACAGGCGCGAAGAGATGCAAATGCACAGCTCCAAGCTGAACGTCGACAAAATTTTCAAAGAAACAATTGGTCAGTTTTTAATGACGCAGCATTCAATTATGATCCGTTGATTGATTATAAAAATCACAGGTTAGTTGTTATCGGACTGATGGACAAGGCGTGTCGATTTTGCAGCGCTTTAAAATGGAAAAATGAGACCGCAGGCATGTGCTGTTCCAATGGCAAAGTGTCTCTTCCGTTACTTGGGGAACCAGAAGAACCTTTGAAAACTCTCTTTTTATATGATGCTAACGAGTCACGGCGCTTTTTAAACAGGATCCGGAAATATAACTCATGCTTTCAAATGACGTCCTTCGGAGTTGACCGGGAAATAATAATGCCGGTATTTTCGCCTACATTTACGGTGCAAGGGCAAATTTATCATATAACAATAGGTTCACTTTTTCCAGCTGAAAACGAACAGCATAAATTTTTACAAGTATATTTTATGGGTGACGAAGAAATTGAGGTAGACCGTCGCTGCCAATTTATGCAGGGAGTTGAGAGAGACACAGTGTTCAAAATTCAAAGATTCTTGCATGAACGTAACATTTTAGTCAAAACATTTAAAACTGCTTTAGAAAACCTACCTGAAAGGATTATAAAGTCTTCATTCAAGCAGATCGGACCCCTCGAGGAGAGCATGAAAGGCGCTACAATGCACCTTTGATAAACGAAATAGCAGCCGTAATTAGTGGTGATCAATTTTCTTCACGAGACATTGTCTTGCGAGCACGTGATGATACGTTGCAACGGGTAGCCGATACACACAAGTTTTATGACGCTCTGCAATACCCATTGAATTGATTTATTGCAAAGTACAAGAGGGTTATCATTTTCAAATTACACTCATTAACCCGGTCACAAAGGAGCCTACTCCGAACAAAAAAGTATCATGTATGGATTTTTATGCGTATCATATGATGTTGCGAGAAAATGATTTTAATCTCTCCTGTCTTATCCCGGTGTAGACAATTATTTCATCAATTTTTGGTAGACATGTATGTGAAGGTAGAAAGTGAACGTCTCCGTTATATATCTTTAAATCAAAAAAAGCTGCGCGTTGAGAATTATATACATTTACAAGATGCAGTTTCTAGCGACGCCAATGTAAACCCCAGAGATTTAGGTAAAATGGTAATTCTGCCCTCATCATTCGTTAACAGTCCCCGCTACCTACGTGAGTAGACGCATTCGTCTATGTACGAACTTACGGAAGACCTGATCTTTTTGTTACTTTTACTTGCAATCCCACATGGAAAGAAATAACCGAGGAGCTAATGCCGGGCCAAAAAAGTACTGACAGACACGATTTAGTTGCTAGAGTATTTAGATTAAAAGTACAAAAATTAATGTATGTAATTAACAAAGGGAAAATTTTAGGAGAGGTGCAGTGCTTCATGTATTCAATTGAATGGCAAAAAAGAGGATTACCACATGCCCACATTCTAATATGGCTTAAAGAGAAGTTACGGCCCAGCCAAATAGACGACATAATAAGCGCCGAGATTCCGGATCCTGAGCAAGATAAAGAATTGTATGATACCATCGTCCGAAATATGATTCATGGTCCATGTGGAGCACGAAATTCAATATCGCCATGTATGAAAGAAGGAAAATGTACAAAGAAATTCCCTAATCAGCTATTAAAAGAAACAATGCACAATGACAATGGCTACCCTTTATACAGACGCAGCGCTCCCGAAGATGGTGGAAGGAAAGTTACAATCAAATCTCGCTCTGGAGCGTTCGAAACCTTAGATAACAACTGGATTGTCCCGTATTCGCCCTTTCTATGTAAAATGTTTAATGCCCACATTAATGTAGAAGCATGTAGCTCTGTCCGCGCAATCAAGTATATCTGTAAGTACATAAATAAAGGAAGCGACCAAGCAATATTTAATCTCAGGAGTGAAGGTGAGGCAAATCCCGTTAATGAAGTACAGACCTTTCAAGCAGGGCGTTATGTCAGCAGTAACGAGGCAGCGTGGCGTCTCCTTGGCTTCCCTTTACACGAAAGGCACCCAACAGTTACTCACCTTGTTGTGCACTTAGAAAATGGAGAGCGTGTATATTTCACCGAAAGAAATTTCCAAGAAAAAATTGCATCACCGCCAAAAACTACACTAACAGCCTTCTTTCAACTTTGTCAAACCGACCCCTTTGCAAAAACGTTGTTATATTCTGAAGTCCCCCGCTATTATACTTGGAACACATCTAGGAAGGAGTGGAAATGCCGTATTCAAGGCGCGCCTGTTGCAAATTGGCCTGGTGTAAAGTCATCAGATGCCCTTGGTCGTGTGTATACGGTCCATATAACTAATTTTAAATGTTTCTGTTTACGATTGCTGCTGATGCAGCGGTGTTCAGGGTCCTACAGGATATAAAGACCTTAAAACTGTCAACGGTCAGGAATGCGCAACTTATAGAGAAGCATGTGAAGCTCTGCATCTTTTAGAAAACGATAATCACTGGGATGAAACCATGGAGGAAGCTGTGCAATGCCAGTCACCAGCCAAAATTAGGGATCTTTATGCAACTCTCATATCATCTTGCGGGCTATTTAATGCACATGAATTGTGGGACAAATATAAAGAGTACATGGCGGAAGATATTTTGCGAAGGTTACAGCAGACACACGCGAACATGACATACAATGAACACATTTATAATGAAGCACTTGGAAAAATTTCAGATAAAGTAATGGCAATGGTAGGCAAAAAATTAAGCGACTTTGGAATGATAAGCCCTCAGCGAACAACCGAAAATGAACTAAGTGATGAAATTATACGTGAAACAAACTACGATATACCAGCTTTGCAGCAGCAAGTAGCCGAATTTGTACCCCGCTTGCTTCCCGAACAAAAACGAGTTTTTGACAAAGTATTAGGACAAATTGAATCTGTAAATGGCGCACTTTTCTTTTTAGATGCCCCTGGAGGAACTGGGAATACATTTTTGTTAAATTTATTATTAGCGCAAGTACGGAAAGATAGAAACATTGCTGTAGCCGTAGCTTACTTCGGTATAGCCGCCACGCTGCTAAGCGGGGGCCGCACTGCACATTCTGTTTTAAAACCAAGCTAAATCTAGCCCAGGAAGAATCGCCGATCTGCAACTTTAGCAAAAATAGTGCACGAGGAATAATGCTACGACAATGCAAACTTTTAGTGTGGGACGAAAGTACAATGTCGCATAAAAAAGCTGTAGAAGCACTAAATCGAATGCTCCAGGATTTGCGCAGCAATACCGATGTAATGGGAGGAATGGTGGTTTTACTGGCTGGTGACTTTCGCCAAACTTTACCTGTCATTCAAAAGGGCACACCTGCAGATGAAATTAAAGCATGCCTCAAGTCGTCTATTTTATGGAACAAGGTGACAAAATTCAGTTTAACTACGAATATGAGAGTGCATTTGTATAATGATATCAATGCTGGAAACTATGCTGACACATTATTAAAAATTGGCGATGGGCGGTTGGAAACTGATGCTGAGGGCTGCGTTAAATTGTTAAATTGACGAGAGATTTTTGTAATTTAGTACAGAGTCATTCCGAATTAATTGCGAGCGTTTATTCAGATTTAACGAACAGAATGCAAGAAGACAAATGGTTATGTGAAAGGGCGATTCTTGCACCAAAAAATGAGAGCGTTAACAAAATAAATTCAGATATATTAAGCGAAGTAGCAGGAGAAATAACAGAGTATTTGTCAGTAGACACAGTTATGGACACAGAACAGAGCACTTCATATCCCGCAGAGTTTCTAAATTCTCTAGAGTTGTCAGGTGTGCCCTCACGTAAGCTTCAATTAAAATTAGGCGTCCCAGTCATGCTAATGCGAAATTTAGATGCTCCTCGGTTATTTAACGGGACAAGGCTGTGTGTGACACATCTTGGACGGAACATAATCGGTGCTACAATTTTGACAGGCGTAGGAAAAGGTGAAAATGTTATTATACCACGGATCCCTATAATTCCCACAGATCTTCCTTTTCAATTCAAAAGGTTGCAGTTCCCTATTAAGCTCAGTTTTGCAATGACAATTAATAAAGCGCAAGGGCAAACGTTACAGGTAGCGGGGGTCAACTTAGAAAAACCGTGCTTCTCTCATGGTCAGCTGTATGTAGCATGTTCGCGTATGTCAAATGCCCAGAATCTCCACATTCTTTCCCCGAATGGAAAAACATATAACATTGTGTACAGTAGCGTCTTAAAATAGTGTTCAGTCTATTTTTTTTCCAAAATTCCCACTATCAATTAATCAGAATTCCCACAGATCTTCCCTTTCAATTCAAAATTTCCTATTTAGCTCAGTTTCTTTTCAATTCCAAATGCTGCACCTCTGACGGACCTATTAAGCTCAGTTACCTTTCAACTCAAAAGGCTGCATCTCTGACGGATCTTTTATTTGGCTCAGCTTCCTTTCAATTCAGAAAACTGCATCTCTGACGAATCAATTTAGCTCAGTTTCTTTTCAAAAGTCTGCATCCCTGACGGATAATTATGCTCAGTTTCCTTTAATTAAAAAAATATCCCATTTCCATTTGGAATAAACAGGCTATTTTCATGCTTTTCTATACGCTGCGTTTCAAAACATTTAAATAGGCTGACGAATCAATTTTGCTCAGTTTCCTTTTAATGGCTGCATCTCTGACAAATCTATAAAACTCGGTTTTCTTTCAATTCAAAAAGCAATGGATAGTTCATTTCCCAGTGACCATGCGGGCGAAGCCGCGGGTAACAGCCAGTTTTATAATAAAACACTATACTAAAAAACTAGAAAAATCAACACAATAACATTCACGCGAAAATGGCGTACGAAACAAATGTAGATTATACATAAATATTCATAGGATAACAGTTTTTTTATTGCACTAGAGGATAGAGTATTTCATATTGATTATATAATGCCGAACTTCTTCATAGAAAAGTAGTCTCTATATATAAGTTTTTATGGGTTAAATTGCTGTGGGTGGGTGCGACCTCATGAGACCGCTAGGGATTTGACAGAATATGGCCGCGGTATCATGAGACCGCTTGGGGGCTGAAGGGTAAAGTAAACGAAATTCGCTAAATAAGTCTTTTTTGCGCTAACAATGTGACTAACATATACAGTAGTCACCTAGTATAGTAACTGAACATAAAATGCTTGTATGTATAGTTTGTGTACTTGCATTCACATGCTGTATATTTGATAATTTTGTTCTTTATAAAACCTAATGTAAACTGTCTCTTCAGTTACATTGTTTATTTATTATAAACATAAGCCTTTATATTAAATACACAGTTATGATTTTCAAAATTAAAAAAAATGTTCATAAATAGCCCGTTACTTACAGATAACACAGGAGGCTCCAAATTTAAGTCAATTGGGTTCATAACAATAAAAACTTGTTGGTTTTTATGTGTTAAGCCATTCGGCTCTCGCAATGCTGCTTTACAGTAGTACTGGACCCATCCATGAGTGCCAAGGAATGTTGAGGGCAGACCCATAGGCAGTCCAAGCTTAAACGGGAAGCTGTGGATGCCAGGAGACAGTAACGATGGTGTATGTCCTGAAATGAAATATGTTGTTATTTTGGACATTAGTTTTATAACAAAAGAAAACATTTAAAATGGTCAATGACAATGACAATGAATAATGACAAATTACCAATGTTTTTAACATTGGTAAATTGAATTACAAATTGGAATTACAATTGCACGGAAACTCATAAATGACACAATTCGAAGTGAAAACCAAAAATTGTTTAAATGCATAGACAATAAATAGTTTGTAGTTATTAGTAGCAGTGTTATTACCATTAAATTTTAAAGCCATACAGATAAAGAATTTATTTACAACTAGCTGTTCCCAACTTCATCCGCCTTCTGTATTTTAGGGTTTTAATTTTTGCATGGAACCCTAATTCTTTTTCTAAAATAGAAGTAACTTAAATTACTCCATATATATATCATCAGCTACCTGCCAGTTAAAGTCCCGCAAAATTGGTCCAGCCATTTCAGAGATAAGCCAGAACAAACAGACAAACAGACAATTTTTTTATAAATTGTGTTTTTATTATAAGTACCATATATACTTTTATATGCATTTATTAAAAAGCTATTATTTTGGCATTACAAACAGACACTTCAATTTTATTTGCTCATATAAATCCAAAGCATTGAATTGTGCCAATGAACTATTTGACTCGGTATTGGTTTACTCAATAGTACTGCAGACAATATGAATTAATTATGAAAAGAATCAAAAAGAAAAAAAACATATAGTTAGTAACCTAAATTAATTAAAATAGATAGTGCATGCTGGTTTTATGGAAACAAAACCTAGCCTTTAACTATTGCATGATTTAGACAAATCTATAGACACCTTATATAAAATTATTGATTGAAAATCCATTCAGCCATTGTTTATATATTTTTATAGTATAAAGGTGACAAACGAGCACACAGTCAGCCTGATGGTAAGTGGATGCTGTGACCCATAAACATCTACATTTAGCCTCACATAAGACTCAAAATGCAGTTGCATTGTCACCTCTGAGGACTAAGATGGAATACCTTGTTTCCAGTAAAAATAATCTTCAATTCTCTACACTCACCATACAAAACACAGCAGCATTTAGCTGCTATTTTACATTAGGAATCTGTGAGAGCATGGTCCTTCCCCGCTCAAGCCGACCCATTCATGCTACAACTATAATATAGCTGTAGCTTGGCTCTATCACGTAAAATAAGACATGCTTGAAAAGCATATTTTCCCTCTGAAATGACACAGGGCAATACTATCAGTGTTCAAATGCCAAGTAACTATTTATTTAATTCTTATAATGTAATTCTACTTTCTCCTTTTTCTTTTTAAATGATAGCTTCTCTTGATAGAATTCTGTCAGTGTCAAGTCAGTCATGGGAGTGACAAGTAAATAATTATTATACTAAGAGTTCTCAACTTTACAAGTGAATTCATAATCTACAACAAAAGATGTTACATTTTAAAATATCATCACCAAAATTGATGAGTCATTTTACAGTTAATAGTAAATTTAGAAAAGGAGTAGACACTAGGGACAACAATTACTGGAAATTTACAGGATGCAGAATGTAGTTGGGCAGGATATCATAGAGAGTGAGAAAGATTAGGACACTCAAAGAACTGATTATCCTTCGCCTAGCCAACATTCACAGATTGAGCTATGTCTAATCATTAGTTTAGCCAAATGTACGGGAGTATAAGCATGACCAAAGTGAAGGCTTAAGATAGTAGAGGTGATTGCTTTACTCAAATGGCAAATATTGGATAAACCAGGGTTTTGATGGGAATGTAATTCTAAATTGCCTCTGAAATATCTTCTTTATATATTTAATGAGAATACCTACAATTCCAATAATTTGATAACCGGCATTTTGTCAATATAGTCAACAGTGTGACCCAAATGCCTGATTAATATTAAGATGTTGCTTTCCATCTCAAGTTTGCTTCCTTTAGCCGCCTGTTATAACACCCATGTAATGTTATGGGATAGTGGATATTCTTCACAAACACTTTACCATCAAATCTTCAACAAATTCTTATGTTATCAAAATTAAAGTTTTTCCTTTTGATATAAGGCATTTTCTTTATGCTTTATGTTTAAATAAAATTTAAAAAGTGCTTTTCAAATATCTATTGTTATTACCATACTGTATAGGCCATAGGTTTCTGTTTACCTGGTTCACCAAGAAGACGCATCCTAAAGTCAATATAATTCTCTTTATCAAATAAGCGTTCATGTCTGCCGGAACCTACTCGAACAACACCCTCACCTATGACGTGAAAATGAAGACCTGAAAAACATGAATTTAAATGAATAATATGTATGTATGATATCTTTGTGAGAACATAATATAATAATTATGACACTGAAGTACTCACCTAGCACAGGTGTGTCATCTTGTAATTCCATTAACACTTTCCCTGACAAAAATTGTCCAGGAAAATATAACAATGATGTGTTATCAAATACAATCAAGAACTTTAACAATTTTCTCGGCATTTTCGTTAATTTGCTGTTGCCGCTGACTAATACGATGATTATAACGACAAGTAGGAATTAGAACAATCTATAACAAAAAGGCAACATTCATAATTATGATTGGTTAAAATGCAAATGTATGAAGATGATAAGTGCGTTAAATAGTTTCGTAACTTTGATCGTTACGCGGAAGTTAACATATAATAGAAAGTAAACATTCTTATTAGTTACTTAAGACAATGAATAATGCCAGCGAAATAATCTTTCGTTTACACTTACACCTTTAGTGACATTATGTAAACCTCTCACATAATCCGTAGGCTGAACAAAGTTGAGAAATATTTTAAAGTGAAGGCCATCAAGTTCAAAAAGTTAACTTCACCTTGAATATATTACTAGTAATGATACAATGAAATTAGTAACTAAATAATTAATTTGACCAATCCATTGAGATGTATGTTTAATTCATAAAAACCAATAAAATTGTATTTATTGAAAACAAAAAAAACTTGTTTTATAGGCACTAGCATAGATTACTGTGGGTACTAGAGAAACTACACCAGTTTGACATTTGATTGATGCTTGCACAGAGTACGTTATATATAACTGGAAGATGCTTGACACTTGACAGTAATTTGAAGTTGCTATATAACTGCTAATACTAAAATAATATTTTTATATACATTATTTAAGCATTGTTTATATTGTATATATGATAATATTTATCTTTTAGCAATAATTATTAGTGACACAATTAATAATAAACTTTAAATTAATAAAATTAGTAGCTTAAAAATAGGATAGGTAAATAGGTATCATCAGAGACAAATGTGACAGATGTTTATTTCTTATCTTTTTTGTAATAGGTCATAGTCAAACAGTTTACTTTGAATTTGCTTTTTATTGGTTAAAAATATGAGTCTGTGATGTTTTGGCCAATAAGAAGAATGATTTATAAATTATAATTCGTAGATTACAAATGTCATTTTTAACACTGAAATAATCGGAATTCAGAATAAATAGTGTTCTGTGGAATAAATTATAAAACCGGCGATCAGAACTGGCGGTTATTTAATTGCTTGATTTTATTTTGTAGCTAGTTTTAAGAATTCTTAATTATAACAAAGATTAAAGAATATATTTCAAAATGCCGAGTGAAATGATAACACTTCAACTTGGCCAATGCGGAAACCAAAGTAAATTCAGATACTTTGTCATATATTTATTAACTGTTCGGTTATTTTCTATAAAGTTCTGTTTATATTCTAGTTGGCTTCGAGTTTTGGAAACAATTATGCATAGAACACGGCATATCTCCTGAAGGTATTTTGGAAGAATTTGCATCAGCAGGTTCGGACCGCAAAGATGTTTTTTTCTATCAAGCAGACGATGATCATTACATACCTCGGGCCGTGTTATTAGACTTAGAGCCTCGAGTTATACACACTATTATGAATTCTCCATATGCAAAGGTATCCATTTGTACTTTTTACTATATTCATAGTAATATGATATACAATAATGAATCTCAGTTGGTTTTACTTATGCATATAACACGGTTGAGCTAAGTTGCACCTCACTCTCTGTTTCTCCGCTCTCAATCCCCTGTTCACGCAGTCGGCTCAGTATGGTTTGCATCTTTGTTACCAGTATGCATGTCTTAATTTTAGTCTCCTATTTGTTTCCACACCAAGTTGGAACTACTTCTTCTTCTTCTTCTTTGTTTTGTGGCGGTTTGATAAAATTCGCCAATGACATATTGAGTGGAAAATGAAAGCTTTTGAGTTTAATTAAAATAAGAGTCTGTGATAATACAAGGATTCAGTTTTCCTCCGAGAATTTTGACAAATCTATTTGTTGAATTACCTAGAACAAATATGACAAACATAGGTGTTAGACTCTTACCAGTATGTTAAAAGTGATAAGGATTTAAAGTTTCATATTATTAGTATAAATAAAATTACATAAAATATACACAAAAGGAGTACTGGTATATGTTAAAAGAGAATTAAAATCTATAGGTGAGGAATATAAGGAGGAAGGTAATCATAAAGGGAGGAGGATAATTTGGGACAGTTGAAAAAAATATAGTTGTATTATATTGTTATATATTGGTATGGTTATGTGGAACCTTCATCTAAGCCACATTCACACAATGAGCTATCCCTTACTCTGATTTTCGCCAGATGTGCATGTGTACAAGCATGTCCAATTCTTAATCTACAAATGATTGAAGTTACATGTTTAATTGCTTTGTTAAATTTAAAGAACCAAGGCTTGGGAGAAATAACTAGCCGCCATCCATGATAACCTCTTGGATGGCAGCATAGTGCTTACCTTTAACATTTTTGGAAACTTCCCATAATTTATTCCAATTATCATTCAGTTTCCTTTTAGCTAGCAAAATTAGGTCATGTGAGTAAATTAAATTTTGTAGAATGCCATTAGCAATTGCATTTTTAGCGAGTACATCAGCTCTTTCGTTACCATGGATACCACTGTGGCCTGGGATCCAGGCCACTGAAACATGGATTCCTTTAAGATGGCATCTGAATAGGGTTTTTTTTTATTTTTATTTTTATTTAAGAATTAGTGGAAATTTATGTTTGTTATGGAATTGATTGGACAAAATAGCTAACAAACAACTTTTTGAATCTGTGAAAATAACTCTTTTATTAAGATTATGTGACTACATATAACAAAGCTTCACTGATTGCAGTTGCTTCACTGGTAAAAGTGGAGGATAGTGAGGGGCAATAAGTCAATCTCTTTAAAAAAAACATTCAAAAATAATTATCCTTCCCCTCCTTGGTGGGATCAAGATTGTTCAGCAGCTTGTAGGAGGAGAAAAGAGGCTGAATTAATATACTCCTGTTCTATGACTGCAGAGAATTATATCTCTTATTAAAAAATTGCTGCAGAAACCTTAAAATTACTGTCAGACAAAAAGCGAACTGGTTGGTTTAAATTCTGTGAGTCACTGTCACCTAGGACTCCCCCATCTTTGGTCTGGAGAAATGTTAAAAAATATTGCTGTGCAGTTTCTAGTGAAAATATAATTTCTAATGATTCTTCCCCCGTGAATAGATGAATTCTCTAATAAACTTGCACCACAAACAGTCCCATCTTATGATGAATGCCTAGTTTTTAATTCTGCTTTTTTAAAAACAAATGATAAATTTGATTCCCCCTTTTTTTCTCAGGAATTGTTTACTGTACTCAATGGCCTTAAATACTCCTCACCAGGTATTGATGGGATTCCTTATTCGTTTATAATTAATAGTAGTGAGAACACTAAAACTGTCTTACTATCCATTTTAAATTTTATTTATATTACTGGTGATCGTCCTGCTGAATGGAAAACCCAAATTATTTTGCCCATACTCAAACCAGGTAAGTCTAGCAATGACCCTTCCAGTTACCGACTTATTGCCCTTTCTTGTAATTTGGCAAAAATCTTGGAACATTTAATAAAAAATCGCTTGGAATGGTTTTAGGAATGAATCGATCATCCGACCTGTCGTCATGTATGGAAGTGAATGCTGGGCCGTCAAGAAGAAGGATGAAAATAGACTGCATGCGAATGAAATGAGAATGTTACGATGTATGTGTGGTGTGACATGGATGGATAAGATAAGGAATGAGTATATAAGAGGAAGCCTGAAAGTAGCGCCAGTGGTAGAAAAGGTGAGAGGAAGCAGATTGGCATGGTTTGGGCATGTGATGCGGAGGGATGAAAGTCATGTCACAAAACGAGTGTTGAATATGAATGTGGAGGGACACACGGGCAGAGGAAGGCCGAATAAAAGATGGATCGATTGTGTGAAGAGTGATATGAGAATGAAAGGAGTAAGTATGGAAATGACGGCTGATAGAGAGGAATGGAACAAGAAGATTTACTGCGCCGACCCCAGATAATGGGAAATGGTTTAGAGAATGATGATACAAGTAGATTTAACCCATAAATAAACATACTTTCAACAGTAAAATGATGAAAGACATAGCATTACTAGTAGTTAGTTAGTACCAGTTCTGGCTCACTGAGTCAGAAGTGGTACAACGTTTGTCGACTCACGATCATAAAAAAAAAGGTTTTGGCATGCTCCGATCACGGTATCCGGTGAGGGCCTCCACAGTCATTAGCGCTCCATTGTTCTTATCTATTTATCTATTGTTCATTGAATACCTTCATTATCTATTCTTCCTCAGCGTGTGCGTCGGGATTATCAGTGCTATTATATTATACTCCTTTGTTCCTATCTACAACGCTAATCTGAATCATCAATAAAGTACATTACCTAATTTTGTTACAATTTTTATTTACAAAATACAAAATCTTATTACTTATTATCTATAAAATAGGAGCGAAACATCTCATCCAATAAAATATCGTTGTACAATGTGTTCCCTGTAAATGTACTCGTAAAACTATGCATTGAACATCCCTGAAACTTATATAGCAAATACATTAAGCAATATTCGCCACAAACTGAAGTCACTCATTCTGAAACCTATCAACATTCGAGTTCCATCTTTTACAATTCCTTTTTAAAAACTCTAGATGATATCTAGATTTTTTGGAAATCAAACAAAATTTATGATTAATTTAAAATTTTATTTTCAAGTAATAACCACTTGTAAAAAACCCACACTTCATCACAAGAACAATGTAAAATTTTGTGATTATTTTTTGCAAATATATGATTATTACACACATAACGTTTGTTTAAATTTTTGACATTTACCAAATCATTGTATTTTGGACATTTGTATTCTTCAATATTAAAAATTCTATCATTCGTCGTCAACATTTTTAAAAATTGTTTTTCTGTTGAACCACCTTTGTATGCGATCACTTCGTCTTTGCACAAATTTCTAATATACCAATTTAATATGAGAATGATGTTCTCTTGTTTGTAGGCACATTTTAA